TCACTTACACCTCATATTCAACACAAGTCATGGGTCAGGGAGGGGTTCCTTATTGTTATTTCTCAGAGACTCAGGCTGATGGAGGCTAAGCACATGGACGTGTGCTTCCACAATCACTATGGCAGGAGGAATTATGTACTGGCTTTTGAAGCTTCCACCCTGAAGTAACTGCTGTTCTGTCCACTGACATTTCAAAGCAAGTCGCATGGCCAAACCTAACTTCCAAAGGGGTAGGGAAGTGTGATCCTTCCATATGCCAGAAGAACAGCTGGACCGTGGGAATGCTTCTCATGCTCCACCGTTACACATGGTGTTTGCTCTAAGTTTCTGGTAGATAACCCTTTATCAAGTTTAGAAGTAAGTGCATGAGTTTGTTTAGAACTTGTTAAGTAAAGAGTTTGTCCTTATCATGAATGAGTGTTAAATTTTATCAACTGTTTTTATGTCATCTGTTTGATGTGTAAATGTTATTTTTCTCCCTTAATTTGTTAAGGCATTTATATATGCTGTTTCTTTACCCAGAACATTCTCCTCCACTGTCCTCTTCAAACAGTTTTCCTGGTTAATTCTCATTCTTTAGAGCTCATTCACTCATCCAGCCAATATTGACTGAGCAATGCTATGTGCCAGATGTTGTTCTAGGCACTTGGGATACATCTGGGATACATCTGGGATACAAAGCAGATAAAGGTCTTACCCATGTGGACCTTACACTGGGGGGAGGAAAGAAAAGAAACGTATAAAATAAATAAGTAAATTAGATAGCATGCCAATAATCTTGAGTACAACAGAGAAGAAGCAGGGCAGGACAAGGGAGAGATGGAGATGTTGGGAAGGTGTAGTCAGAGTAGGTCTCTCATGACATCAGGGCAACGACTCAAAGCAGGGGCAGAGTTTACTAGGTAGGTATCCAAAACCAGACTGTTCCAGGCAGAGGGCAGCAGTGGGGCAAAGGCCCTGGGGTGGGAATTGCCATGTGCGTTCTAGAAGCATTAAGGAAGTTCTGGGGCTGCAGCTGAGTGAGTGAGCCTGGTAAGGGATGAAGCTGGAGAGATAGCGGAGGATGGTGACTGTGAGGGCCTTAGAGGTCATAGAAGGGCCTTTGAGTTTTTCTCGGACTAAGATGGGAGCCCTTGCAGACTTTTGGACAGAATCTGACTGCGCTTTGAAAGGATCCCCCTGATGCAGTGGTGAGAACCACCTTTAGGGTGGCAAGGGTAGAAACAGGAAGACAGGTGGAATCGCCTACAATAAATCAGGTGTGAGATGAAGATGCTCCTACGAGAGTCATAGCAGTGGAGGTGGCGAGAAGTGCTGAGATTCTGGATACATTCTGAAGGAAAAACCATGATGATATTCTAATGGATTAGATATGGAGTGTGAGAAAATAAGAGAAGCCAGGATGGCTCCAAAATTTTGGCCTGAGCAATGGGAAGGATGGAGCTGGAAGAGTGGAAGAGGCTTTAGGTGGAGAAGGTTTCAGGTGGGGGAGGATCAAGAGTTCAGTTTTTTTTTTTCTTTTTCATTATGATAATTTTTTTATTGAGATAAAATTCACATATCATAAAATTCACCTCTTTAAAATGTGACTTCGATGGTTCTTAGAATATTCATGAGTTGTGCAACCATCACACTATCTAATTCCAGAACACTTGTTGACCCCTCCCCCAAAGAAACCCAATACCCATTGTCCACTCTCCTTCCCCCCTCCTAGACATCTACTTTCTGTCTGTATGAATTTGCTTATTTTGGAAATTATATATAGACGGAATCATACAGCATGTAGCCTTTTGTGTCTGACTTCTTTCATTCAGCATAATTTTTCCGAGGTTCTGGACTCTTTGAATTTGAGGTGTTTTATTAGGCTATCAAATATTTAAGTCTGGTAGAGAGGTGAGGGCTAAGGAATACAGAAAATATAAGATATCTGTAAATAGATATACAGAATCATCAATATATGGAAGAATACTACTTAAAATCATGAGACTAGGTGCAATCCCTCATCAAGTGAGTAAGGACAGAGAGAAGGAAGATGCCCCAAAACTGGCACACTGGAACATCTGGAAGAGAAGAAGCCATCACAGGGGAGCGAAGGGGCTGCTGGTGAGAGGGAGGCAATAGAGAGTATGGGTCCTGGAAGCCTGGGGAGAAAGTGCGTGGACAGAAGGCTGTGATCATCTGGGTCAGATGCTCCTAAGAGGTCAAGTAAGATGAGGACTGAGAAATGACCATTGGGTTTAGCACCCAGGAGGTCATGGAGCTCCTGGTTGACCAAGAGCTATTTCAGAGCGATGTCAGGGAAGAAAGCCTCATCAGAGCGGGTTCAAGAAAGAGTGGGAGAAGAGAAACTGGAGACAGTAGAGACAGCTCTTTCGAGGAGTTTTGCTGCAAACCTGGGGTGGTAGATAGGAGAGAAGTGAGGCCAAGAGTGTTTTTTGTTTTGTTTTCAAGATGGGAGAATCAGCATGATGTTTGTTTCAGACAGGAATGAACGATGCAGTGGGAGCCAAAAATTAATGATGTAGGAGAGAAAGGGGAGAATTGCCGGACGGGGTTCCTTGAGGAGGTGACGGGACAAGATTGATCCCAAGGGGAAGGTTGGCCTTTGATGGGGCTCGGACAGGTCATCTATCGAAAGAGATGGAGAGACGGTATGTGGGTGCAGACCTGGCCAGCAGGCAGATAGCAGGCAGGGTAGGAGTCTGTGTTCCTAAATTTTCAAGGGATGGAAGAAGCATGGTCTTTGGCTGAGTGAGGGGGAGGAGGTGTTGGGAATTAGAAGGGAATGGAATGAAAAGGTATCTAGAAGAGAGCAAGTGCACTAGGGAAGAATAGTGTGAGTCCAGGCAGCATTAGGGTGCAGGTGAGGTCTGTGCGCCCAGTTCAGATATCACCCCTTCCCGAAAGTCTTCTCACCCCCAGACTAGGTCACTCCCCTTGCTGCCTCATGGCCCCTGTGGTGCTTCTCTCTCACAACTCTCATCACAACTGGAATGAAATATCAACTGTATTCTTTAGTTCTTTAATCCCTGTAACCCTCCCTAGACTGTAAACCCCATGAAGACATGAGCAGAGACTGTCCCCTCCGTCGCGGTATCTTGGCATCTAGCTCCTCCCACACAGTAGTCTCTCAATACATAATATTTAAATAGTTGAATAAATGAATGAAGTAATGGATGAGAAAAGTCCTGGAAGCTGCATGTGTGCTTTTAGTCGGCCTAGATTTCTGAAGTAACTCCTTCCGCATCCCTGTGAGATTCTGGACCTCCTCTCTTCGTAGCTTTTACCCCCACCCCAATCCCTTCCCCGCCCCCCTGCCCCCTCCCCCTCCCCCAGCGCTCCGCTTTGCGGGCGCTTCTGCTTTAAGGGCCCCGCAGAAGTCGAGCCGGGCGCTGATTGGTGGTTTATTCTAACGGATAGAGGATGAGCTCATCTGCAACCAATGACCGAGCTGCATCCGGCCAGACCCCTGCACCTGGGTGGAGGGCTGAAAGCAGCCGCCCACGGTGCAAGGTCCCCCGCGGGGGCGAAGGGGCAGTGGCGGCAGGGCTGGGTCTGGCCACGCGGACCGAGCTCCTGGCTCGGGCAGGTACGGTGTTTGCCCGGCTCCTCCTCCATCCCCCTACCCTAGGAGAGGATGCCCCCTCTTCTCACTCCCCCAGCCCGCCTTCCTCGGCGACCCCCGAGGGGCGGTGCACCTTGCGTGCCGGGGACTCGCGGGTTGGACGCGACGCTTTCTGGGTCCAGGCGCGGCTATGCGGTTCTACCCGGAAGGACCCGGCCCGGCGGGTGGTCCCGGAAGCCGGGCCCTGACACAGAGCAGCCCGCCCTGTCGGCCTTGGTGCCTCTGAGCACAGGACTCAGAGCGGCATGTCCCTGGTGACTAGGCCGAGTGGGGAGGGGGCGGCTTCCGGGCCCCCCTCCTTCCACCTCCTGGCCGCATCCTGGCCAGGGTTCAGCTCCCCGCTGGCTTCACGATGTGGGTTTTCCTCCCCGCCCCACTCCCCATCCTGTTCTCTCCTCCCTCTCTGCACAGAGGCAGAAATGACCTGGAGTTGGCAATTTGGGCCCTGCCCCTTCCCAATGGGGCCTGAGAGAGCGAAGGTGCAGAGGCTGCAGTGAGGGGCAAAGGCAGCTCTGCTGGCCTCTCTCTGAGCCCTTGCCTTTCCTGAAGACACTGCTCTTATCCCTTTGGCCACTTGTATCACACACTGCTCAGGGAGGAGCTGCTGTATGGTCCTTGGAGGCCACGTGGCCTCCTGGCCTTCTCAGAGACAGAGCCAGGAGGCCAGAGGCATCCCCTCCCTAGGGCTGGTTGGGCTCTGACCTCATTCCTCTAACTCCACCCAGAGTGGCACTGAATCTGCCACTCAGTCATTTCATTTGCCCGCAGACTTTAAGGCCAAGCCCTGTGCCCGGCTCTCTGCCTGGCTTCTTGGGGGTCCTCACTCCCTGGCCACACTGACCTCAGGACCTAGGGAAATGAAATAAAGCAGGGGCAATCCATTCTGTTCAAGGAGGTGCCATGGAGCCGAACCTTGAAGGATAGATGAGATTCCCGTGGGAGGACCAGGGAGGGGAGAACAGGCAGGATGGAGGGAACAGTATAAGGAATGGCCTTTGGGCCCCAGGCCCTGGCTTCAGCCTCAGAGTGTGTGAGCTCCATGTTTAATGTGTATAGAGGCCCTTTGCAGGCATATCCTCAGCTCTCTCCAGTGCTCAACACATAGTAAGTGCTCAAGAAATACTTGATGAACTGAATTTGAATTGAAAACAAAAAACCCAGAGCCCAAAGCATGTTATTATTCTGTTATTACCACCACTTAGGGAAGATCTGGCTCAGTGAGGGATATTACCCACATTAGCTCTGATTCCTCCAGCCCTTGGACGTGAGCATTAGCATACTCAGTGGAGGAAACCAGGGTGCAGATGGGGTGTTACTCCCAGCAGGATTCTCCCTAATGCCTCTGCTCATTCCAGGTCCCTGCTCCAGGGCAGCCATGAGCGTGGTGGCCTGTGAGTGTCCCCCTGGCCCTGGCCTGGACCCCAAGCCCTGCTCATGAGTGCGGTCCCAGGCCCTAGTGTACCGGGAGCAGATTCGCAACCGGGTCACTCCAGGGGCACCTGACATGACCAAGCGCGACTACCTTGTGGATGCAGCCACACAGATCCGGCTGGCCCTGGAGCGTGATGTCAGTGAGGAGTATGAGGCAGCCTTCAGCCACTACCAGAATGGCGTGGACGTTCTGCTCCGAGGCGTAAATGGTGAGGCTGGGGCTGGGCAGGGACGGAGGCCGGTGGTGAAGGGCTCATCCCGCCATCTGTCCATCTGAGCTGGGCGAGCAGGGCTCTCTGTGTGGGCCCTGCAGGGCCTCTGCCAAGGACAGTAATAACAGTTCTCATTTATCGAACGGTTCCTATACACCAGGCGCTGGTCTAAGGGCTTTACCTGTATCAACTCATTTCCCATTCACAGTAATACAAACCACTGTATATGTTCTTACAAACCACTGTATATGTACTTCCAAATATATAAGAATGATTTTTATTCCTGTTTTCCAGATGAGGAAACTGAGGCACAGGGCAGTTAAATAGCTTGCTTGAGACTCCACAGCTGTCAAGTGGCAAAGCTGGGGTTTGAACAGTGTGGGCTCCAGAGGCTGTGCGCTTGGCTCACTAAGCTTGCCTGCCCCTGAAGCTGGGCTGGGGTCCTGCCCTCTGGGGGCTTGCATTCTAATGGGGGGAGATTGATGAGTTGATGATGGACTATTATAGTCCCAGATGGCAAGAACAATGAGGAGGAACTGAAAGGAGGGAAGAGGGAAACTGAGGCCAGACTAGGCTGGCATAGGCCATTTTCTAGAAGTCAAAACCCTAATCTGAGTACTGAAGAATGGTGGACATGTCCAGCTGAAGGGCTGGGTGGGGCTCCAGAGGGAGAACCGCACAGGCCTGGAGGTGAGAGGGGAGGCCTGTTCAGGGAAAAGGAAGGCATTTCCAAGTAGAGGGAGAGGCTGGCCCTGAGGCCACTTGGAGACCCCTGAGGGCCTTGGTGGCCAGGCTGGGGGTAGGAGTCAGGCCCCAATTCACGCTTCCTACCCTCCCGCCGATGAGACCTCTCAATACCTGGGCTTCGTGCCTGTCCAGTGACTTCCTTTACCCTCCCGCCCTGATCCCCATTCTGGCCTCTTTCACACTGGGCATCAGAGAGAGAACGTGTGCTCTCTGGGGGCTTCTGTCTCCTACTCTGAAAAACGGACATGGAAATCCACACTGTGTCCCTTCCCAGGGTGTGATGGTGGCCAGCGAGGTAGTAGGTGCCAGCTGTAAAGTGCTGTAGGCTGAGTGGCGACTGTGGTTCCCAACCTCTCCTGCCACCATCCCTCCTCCTCCTCCCCTGCTGGTCTCCCATCCAGAGGAGGACCCAAGAACAGAGGTGGGGTCAGAATCCACTGACCAGCATCAGAAATAGGCACTACCTCCTATGGAGGGCAGAGGGCAGGCAGTGGGAGCGCAAACCCCAGCGTCCTCCCAAGGACAGGACCCCTCCTCCCCACAGTCGACCCCAACAAGGAGAGATGTGAGGCTGTAAAGCTGAAAATTACCAAGTACCTGCGGCGGGCAGAGGAGATCTTTAATTGCCACCTGCAGAGGACGCTGGGCAGTGGAGCCAGCCCTGGCACGGTAAGGAGACCCCAAAGGCCTGAGGGCTCTGAGGGGAGAGAGCTGAGGCCCTCACCCCACAGGCCAGGGAGCTGTCACCCGCCATCCCAGGCGGCAGGCAGACGGTGGAGAGCACAGGTCGGCTGGTGTGTGTGCCAGGGCTGCCCTGCTGCCTCCCTCCTGGCTTCCTCTCTATCCCACACTCTCCATAATTCATTCATTTGCAAACGCTAGTGAATCATCTCCGGTCCAGTCTTACGCCCCCACGGAGTACACACACACACACACCTCCCCACCCTCACGCATGGCCCGTACATGTGCTCACCTATGCGCACACTCAGGCTCTCAGATCTCTCTGTGTTTGGCTGGGCTGCAGTGAGTATTCGGAGCAGACACAAATACCTACGTGCATATACACACACATGAACATGTGCATATATAAATGTGCAAAAGTCCTCTCCCCATACGGCTTTTCTTGACCCAGTGGGCACTCAGAAAGGATTGAAGATGCACGCACACTTCTCAAGCCCGCACGTGTGCACATACACACCCCTTCTAGGCTTGCTGCACCCTGTAAGCTGCTTTCCCCAAAGCAGGTGCCTGGGCCACATGCCTTGGTGTTGGAGGCGTGTTCCCCGAGATGCACATGTTCCCAGGTTACTTCCCCTTCCCCGGGCGCATCTGCCTCCTGTGGACAGGGCTTCTGAGAGGGGGTTTCTGAAGCCCTGAGAACTCCCTGGGTCTGGGAGGAGGGCTAGGCGGGGACCGAGCTGAGAGGGTAGCCTGGCCACCGTGGACCGAGGCCAGCTTCTCTGCTCAGTCTATCCCTGTGAGGTGGGCCCTGCCTGTACCACGGTCCTGCCCTCTGTGGTCACTGCTCTCCTGGCAGCCGGGGCCCTGCCCACTGCCTGGTAAGAAGGTTGTGGCTGAGGAGGACTCACCCTGAGGCCGCTACGTGGCTCTCTCCTGCCTCTGCAGGGTTTTAGCAGCCTGAGGCTGCGGCCCATCCGGACACTGAGCTCTGCCCTAGAGCAGCTGAGGGGCTGCAAGGTGGTCGCGGTCATCGAGAAGGTGAGTGAGCACCGCCTGAGGTGTGGGAGGAGGTGTTGCTTATAATTGGGAGGGGCAGGTGTTGGAAAGAGGTCAGAGGGCCGCGGGGAGAGCAGCTGTGGCGGGGTCCCCCACCCGCCCCCACCCCAGCCCGCACCAGTCAGCTCTGGAAAGGAAAACGTGAGGAAAAAGCAGAGGCGCGCAGCTCCTCTCCACAGCCCGCCAGCTCAGACGCAGAAAGCCACTCCCTCCGGGGCGCCCAGCCAGCCCGCGCTGCCCTGCCTGCCCCACTTCCACTTCCCCAGGGCTGCAGCCAGGAGTCTCCCCACCTAGCACAGCCCAGAGGTTCCTGTGGCGGGAGTGCGCTTATCTCCAGAAACCCGTCCTGCGGACGGTCGAAGCGGGCTGGTACCTTGTCCAGGGCCTTGGCAGCTCTGCCCTTTCTCTCCTGGCTCCTCCGGCCACCCCCCATCCTGACCCCATCTAGGATCTTTTCCCTTAATTCAGGGCAGACAGGAAGATAGGAGCTGACAGCCAAAACTGAACCTGGGACACTCATCAGAAGGACAGACAAGTTGGGTCAAATGAGATTTGAGCCAGTATTTGATCGCTCTCCGCCCCAGCCCAGGGGTACCTGAATATTTGCTAAAGCGTTTTTTCCCTCAAACTGGCTGTTTATCAGAATTCCCTGGGGGAGCTTCCTAAAAATACAGATGCCCGGGCCCATCCCAAACCCACTGAGTCAGAATTTCTAGGGTTGAGCCCAGGCACCTGTAATTTAAAACATTCATGGGGGTGTTTGGACGGGTCTGGGAACCCGCAGAGAAAAGGGGACCGGTGTGTGCTCCCCGACATGCCGAGGGTGAAGTGCTGGCCGGGCTGGCACCGCGTGGCCACACACGAGCTCCTTTCCCTATCTGGGCGCTGGTTTCCTCATCTGGAAGTGGAGGTAAGGATCCTCCCACCCACCCCCGCCCCACCCAGCGTGATGTGGGGACTAAAGTGAAATGATTCGGGGGAAAGGCCTAGCACACGCTAAAGCATTTGATACAGGTTTGGTGGCCATGAAGGCGAATGACGAGAGTGTGTGGCGAGCAGGCTTCCCATCCCAGCCTTGCTCCAGCTGCTGCTCCCAGGTCCCTGGAACAGGCCCCAGTCTGTCAGCCAAGGCCCAGCCAGCTTCCGTCTGCCCAGCCCTTCCCTCCCATTGCGCGAGTCCACGTGGCCTGGCCGCTTCCCCGGGCAGGCGGAGGAGGTGACAGCCACCACTGTTGCCCCGTGTGGGATCCCACTGAACCAGTGGTGTTTTGGAGAGAGGGGTTCTGGGTCAAATAAGTTTTGGAAACAGTGAGTTAAAGTTACATTACTTCCGTTTTTAAGTATAGGAAGTTTCAAGCTTTTAGGATGTAGATGTACACAGTGAATCTCCAAGAGGGAGGTCTGTGATAGAGTTCCCTGAATTTGAATTTAACCCCGGACATACATGTGCAAAGCATTTTTGGAGTCCCATATTCTGAGGCCTGTGCATATGGGAATTAGAAACTCAGGCCAAGCCCAGCCTTTCTGTCTTGAGAGTGCCCTCTTTTCTTTCTTTTTATATACTTTCTTGGGCACTCAATTTACTTTCTCCACCTCCCTCCTAAAATCCTGCTTCCTTTTTCTGAGTCATTCCCAAGCCAGGAACACCAATCTCCTCAAATTAGGAGAGGTGTTGGGGCCACTGGGCCCAGGTCCCTGCAGCCAGGCCTGGATGAGTATCACCACATTCCGTACCACAGCTCTGCCCAGACAGATCTGGGCAGGCAGGTGGGAGGGCAGTGCCAGCCTGCAGCAGCTCACAGACTCAGGGGGAGCAGAGGGCCCCGCTCAGGAAGCCTTGAGTGCCCCCCAGAAACACCCCATTGTGAGGGTTAAAGGGGCTGGGGAGCGGGGGGTCCCTCAGGACCGAAGAGATACTGGCAGGGGTAGGGGGTGGCAGGGAACAGCAAGGAGGGTGGATCAAGGACTAGGCAGGCAGCAGGCCAGGAGAGCCAGGGTCTGCTGTTGGGGAGCCTGGGGGGCTTGGGAGACAATGCTGCCTATTTGCCGAGCTTTGTCCCGGAGCCAGGCCTTGAGTCAGGGAGGGGAAGAAAGAGACCAGCCAAGTCACTTCCATGTTTTTGGCTCAAACACAGGGGTGTTTTTTGAATTATTGTTAGTTATCAGCATTTAAAAATTGGCAGGTTTCATAGAGAAATCCAGATTTCCTACTTATCCTGAGAAATCAGAAGGTCTGGAAATGCTGGCTCACATTCATGTCAGCCGGAGCAGAGGACGGGCTGCCCGATTTAATGGGGCACCTGCCCTCCGTCGGCCCCTTTCTCATCCTGCCCATTGGCCCACATGCCCAGCCCCTGTGGACCTTAGTGCTTGAGAACCTGCTTGAAACTTCTGGATTTGTTTGCTCCAGGAGGGGTCCTCCTGGCCTTTATACTGTGGACATTTTAAAAGAAAGGGTTAATGTGTTTCACCAAAGCTTTCATTGTCCCTGAATCCCGAGAACTCAGTGGGTTTCATTTATAAAAAAGAGATTTCCCTTTTTATTTATTATTATTTACTTATTTATTTATGGCAGCGTTGGGTCTTCGTTGCTGTGCACGGGCTTCTCATTGCGGTGGCTTCTCGTGTTGCTGAGCACAGGCTCTAGGTGTGTGGGCTTCAGTAGCTGTGGCTCGAAGGCTCTAGAGCTCAGGCTCAGTAGTTGTGGCTCACAGGCTTAGTTGCTCCGTGGCATGTGGGATCTTCCCAGACCAGGGCTGAAACCCATGTCCGTTGCATTGGCAGGCGGATTCTTAACCACTGCGCCACCAGGGAAGCCTGCGATTTCTCTTTTTAAAAAGGTGAGGGCAGGCACCCTTCACCAGAACTGCCTTCCACCTTCCCGATAGCAATACTCACCTGACATTTGTAAGGCCCATTCTAGTTTGCCAAGCTGTTGCATTAAACCCTCTCGGTCACCCTGGGGAGGAAAAGGGTTATACTGTGCAGTCCGATACAGTAGTCACCAGCCACATAAGACTATTTTAATTAATTAAAATTAAATATTCTATTTCTCAGTGGCACCAGCCACCTTTCAAGGGCTTGATAGCCACATGTGGCTAATGGCTTCTAACGGACAGTGCAGATATATAATATTTCCATCATGGCAGAAAGTCCTACTGGACAGTGCTGCATTTTTTTAAAGATATTTATGTATGTATTTATTTTGGCTGTGCCAGGTCTTAGTTGTGGCATGTGGACTTCTTAGTTGTGGCATGTGCGACCTGTTAGTTGTGGCACGCGGACTCTTAGTTGTGGCATGCATGTGGGATCTAGTTCCCCGACCAGGGATCGAACCCAGGCCCCCTGCATTGGGAGCGCCAAGTCTTTCTTACTCACTGGACCACCAGGGAAGTCCCTGGACAGTGCTGCATTTTAATCATTGTCTTACAGAGAATGTAACTGAGGTTCATAGAGGTCAAGAGACAAACTAGTGCTCTATAGCACAGAGCAAAAGAGGAAGGGTGTTTTTTTGTTTGCTTGGTTTAATGGGAAAATGCCCCCTTTTCTACCCTTTTGAAATATCATGAAAGAGAAAGGAGTTTAGAACAGAAAAGAAAAAAATAATTCCCCACCATCCTATCTAATTCCAAGATAATCACTGTTAATGGTTTGGTCTAATTCTTTCTTGATAGATGTGTGTGTATATATATATTTTTTCTTCTCTTTTTTAACACACTTGTTTCAATGTACTGATCAAGTTTTATTTCTGGCCTCCACGACCTTCACTGCTGTTTTTTTGTAAACGAGAAGACTTGCCCAAGACAAGACAAGGTGGAGGGGAATCCCACTTGGCAAGTGGCAGTGGGGAATTATCCGGGGTGTCAGCACTTGTGGGAAACTGTATTATCCTAAATGACCCCAGAGTTCTCTTTCTTTCTTTTTCAAGCTTTGCGTATTATTTGGCCAAGGAGCCGGGACTAGGCTGGACTCCATCTCTGGCTGTTGGAGGAGAGACCTCTAGTGGTCAGAAGGGATGCCTCACTCCTGCTGCCCCTGTGCTCAGAGTCTACCACCTTCATCTCACTGACGATGGGGAAACTGAGGCCCAGAGGGGAAGGCATGCACCAGGTCACCTGGTTGTGCCCCTGTTTGCAGTTATGTCTCCAGGGCTACGGGATCAGCCTGTCTGGATTCACATCTTGGCTCTACCACTTTTTAGCAGGGGGACCGTAGGCAACGTAACCTCTCTGAACCTCAATTTCTTCATCAGTAAATGAGTCACTAGTAATGCTCACCTGGTAGGGCTGGAGAATAAAACTAAATGACCTAGATAAAGCCCTTAGCGCAGAGTAAATGCTGTATAGCCAGTGTGAGGTTTCCCTGTGATATTAATAATCGTCACTATAGACTATTGAGAGCATGTTATGTGGCAGGCACAGGCTGCTGCTGTACTTGAGTTGCTTGCTTTAATAGAATCCTCCTAATGGCCTTCTGAAGGAGGTACTGCTATGACCCATTTTGCAGTAAAGAAGACCAAGGTTCACAGAGGCCATGTGACTTGGCAAATGTGGTAACTGACATTCCCACCGCCTTTACATTCTCCAAGGGCCTTCCCATTGGTGGCCTCAACAAACCAGTGATAAGGGAGGGTGGGCATTTGTAATTCCTGTTTGGTAGATGAGAAAATCAATTTGCTCACCCAAGATCTGAACCCCAATCCTAGGCTGCAGCCTTCGTCACTGCCCAGTGACCTGGCCTCAGGGCCTGGTTCCCGTGTGCCACTACGGGGAACGTGTGCAGGGCAGGCTGACGGCTAAGAAGTCACAACACCAGGGTGCTGGCCTTGCCCCCCACATGCCCCTCATCTGGGCCGAATCTTCCGCCTTCCTCCGCTGACGTGTCCTCTCCTATGGCTGGGGTCCACCCCTGCCCACCATGGAGATGAGTCTAGGGCCCAACTCCAAACAAGGCTCTGCCCAGCAATTGGCAGACCACTGCCTCCAAGCAAAACCAACAGGAGAAGGAGTGGGCTGCCCTCCAAAGATAGCCTCCAGAAAGAAAGACCATTTAAAAGAAGGGGCTGGGGGCAGGGGATGAGACCTGAAGGAGCATGGCAAGACCACACGGTCTCGGGCACCACTGGGGCCACATTCTCTGAGCCTTGGCTTCTTCACCTGTAAAATAAGAGATCAGAGAAGGTGACTGGCTCTGAGGTCCCTTCCAGCCATGACACCCTCGGACCCTACAGGATGGACCACTCAGCATGCATGTGGGAAGCACTGACTACCTCCCTGTCCTATGCAGGCCTCTGGGAGTACAGAGCTGGACATGTGGTCCCTGCCCTCTCGGAGCTCACAGCCCAGCAGGGAGACAGGAAATTAGACACAGTGTGATAGGGTGAGCCCAGAGAGCACTGGAGACAGATTAGGAGCCCCAGCCTAACGCGAGGGTTGGGAAGGCTTCCTGGAGGAGGTGGTACCTGAGCTAAGACCTGCGGATCTAACGAGGGTGGATGAGCAGGACAGGTTCGATGTCAGTTTGGCGGTGGGGGGGTACACTCTGCACTACCAAAGCCTGGCCTCCCAGCCCAGCCTTGGTGGAGGACGCGGGGAGGCTGGGGCTGGGGCCATGGAGTCCCAGGAACTAGCATGTGACTTGACTAGTGCCTCCTGGACCTCGGCAGGTGCAGCTGGTCCAGGACGCAGCGACGGGAGGGACCTTCGTGGTGAAGGCAGGTGCCGCCCAACCCCCTGCCGTTCTGCATTCCCCTTTGGACTTTGTCAGAGCTCTTGGAAACCCCTACCCCCTGGGGAACCTCTACCCAGAAGCCGTGTGGGAAACCCACACTCCCTCCAAATCCAACAGCTGTTTGTTCTGCCCCCAGCACGCACCCTGCCTCCCAGAAATGTGCACGTGCGCACACGCATACACACACTGCCTCATCCTTGGACCAGAGATGGGAGGGCCTGCCTTCCAGGGTGGAAAGAGGGTTGAGGGTCAGTTTAGGAACTGGGGGCAGGCAGCTGCTCTCCAGGGTGGCTCCCACGCTTCATCTGGTTGCCCCTGAAGAGCAGAGCAGCCTCTGGCCGGTCCCCAGCTGATCTGCCTGCTCTGCTCCCTCCCCAGAGCCTGTCCAGGTGCCACACTGTGAGCCGGGAGCGGCTGACCATCATCCCACACGGCGTCCCCTACATGACCAAGCTGCTGCGGTATTTTGTGAGCGAGGACTCCATCTTCCTGCACCTGGAGCATGTGCAAGGTGAGGGGGCCCTGTCAGCTCCTCAGGCCTTTGGGATGTCGTCCTGTCTCATCCTCTTCAACTGCCGAGCCCAGATGCCCAGCACAGACCAGGGGACCCAGCCTTCCTGGAGGATGATGGCTGCTGGGGGCTTCTGTGTGGTGCCAGGGGGGCAGGGGACGTCCTGGGAGGATGTTCACATCTTGGGCGGGTGAGAGGGCATTTATGCAGATGTCCCCTTTGTCACCCTCTCCTCCAGTCTTGGCTCTTTTCACTTTTCTAGTCTGTGCCCACCCCTCAGAGTGGCCCCGTGGGGTGATGGTGCTGAAGCTGTAAGGACAGGAACTGGGCCACGTAGCAGATATTTATTGATCAGCCATGATTTTTTTTTTTAAATGAGGTACACATCTCTGGGTCATGACATACAGTCGTCGCAGGTCCCTGGCCTTGTTTTTATTTTACTTACTTAAGCTTCATTACACTTTTCTCCCTTAAAAAAAATTATAATACATTGAACACTGGTGAACCCACCACCTAGACCAAGGACATTAAGAATAATTTACATCTCCTTAGGGGTTAAGCACCTATTTTGTGCCGGGTTGTGAGGCTGGGGCCGCTTTAGGTGGGTGGAGAGGAGGGGAGAGGGCATCCTAGGCTGAGGGAGGGGAGGGAGCAGAGGTGAGGACCTGGAAGGCAAAGGATCCGTGCCCAAGATGCGGGGTGGGGGTAGGGGCATTATACACATTCTACACATTTTACTTCTTGATGCTACATTTCCAGGTGGTCTTTATGGCAGTTATACTGTTTGGTTTAGGTAAAAGTCATTTTTTCTCTGGGAGAGAGGAGAAAGGTGGGCCAAGATTAACATTTGTTGAAGTCCTACTGCATGTTATACACTCTGTACAGGGTTTTTCATTTGCACCTCACAACAATTCTGTAAGAAAGACATCATGGGTCTCCTTTACAGATGACCAAGGGCAGGCTTACAGAGGCTAAGCAAGTATTCCAGCATCACACATGAAGTTAGGGGCAAAAATGAAGGTTCAACTTTTGCCCACATCACAATATACCTTTAATTCATAACAGAAGCAGCATCACCTCCAAGGAACTGAAAATTGATTCTTAGGGGTGAAGAGATCTTAGATAGTACTATGTTGTGTTGCCCCCAGAAAGATCAAGGTACATAAACAGATATACACCACATCTCTGGTATTAAAAAATTTCACATTCTGTGGATGGGGAAATGATTAGGGGAAAATGTGTCTAAAAAACCTCCATAAAGTGGATGATAATGAAAAAAGGTTGAGAAACACTCATATATTCAGTGATCTAGCATGTAGATGATGGGCCACCAGGGCTTCACTCCCTCATCGATGCTCACTCTTCGAGTGAGTATTGGTGGTGGTGGCAGGGGGGGGGGGGGGGGTGGTGGTGGCGGGAGTGGGAGAGGGACCTGGGCCCCACGCTCTTTTACTCCCATCCCCATGCTTGCTGCACCCTCTGCACGGCGCAGGAGGCACTCTGTGGTCCCACCTGCTCTCCCAGCCGTGCCTCCAACAGTCTGGGACTAGGTCTGGCTCCAGCCTGGAGAGGATGAAGGCTCAGCTCAACTCCCGCCTCAGCCTCCGGACCCCAGCTCGCCTCCCACCTGGCCACACCTGCCTGCAGGACGGAATCCCCCTGGAGCCTCCCCGGACTTCTCAGAGCCTTACCCCGGCCAGGGGGGCCTCAGCCATCAGACCCCAGAGAGAAGCTGAAGGTGAACCCTCAGCCGGGACCGGCCCTTCCTGCTCCTGGGACCTTCCAAAGGCCCCAGGTGGCCACCTGCACCACCAAGCCAGGCGGGGGCCCGGCCAGAGCTCTGATCCGGGGCCCCCTCGGGGGCTCCCTTGGGTTCATGCAGGGGCCGGCCGGGTGCTGGGGGGCTGTGGCCGAGGCAGAGGTCGGAGCCGCCCCTCAACCGGTGGAGCCGCCTGGAGTGTGAGGGAGGAGCAGGTGAGGCAGTGGGCGGCCGAGATGCTGGTGGCCCTGGAGGCGCTGCACGAGCAGGGGGTGCTGTGCCGGGACCTCAATCCCCGGAACCTGCTCCTGGACCAGGCAGGTAGGAGCCCTGGGCCCAGGGGGAGAAGAGTGGGCCCTCCCCCTCCCCCACCCCTCCGGCGGGAGGCCCCCGAAGCCTCAAGACAGAGAAGGAAATTTCCCCAAGGTCAAGTGGATGCAGAGGTTATCTGCTTCTTCCCTTGCCTCCCCTCCCCGGACTTTTCAGGAGGGACTCTGCTGAGCCTGGTTGGCCAGGGTTGACCTTGGGAAACAAACCCTTTCCCTCGATGAGCTCAGGGCAAGCCTCCTGTGGAGACCAGGTTGTTTCGAGGCCTCAGCGTGGGGGTGGGGGTGGGGCCCTAGGGAGCTTCTGCCCAGCGCAGCCGCTGGCCCCTGCCTTGTGGCTGTTGGGAGAAGCGCTGGAGTCCCCTGCCTCACGCCTGCAGCTCCAAGATGACTAATAGCAATTTTTGTCCCCTTTTATTCCTCCCCGCATGCACTGCATGACAAGGCCACATCCGGCTCACGTATTTCGGCCAGTGGTCAGAGGTGGAGCCTCAGTGCTGCAGGGAGGCTTTGGACAAACTCTACAGCGCCCCAGGCAAGAAGGGAAGGGGTAGGGGGTAGCCCTTGGGTGTCTTTATGTGGGTTGAGCCAGGGGACTGAGGATGACGGAGGTAACTGGGTCATCTGGGCAGGGTGAGTGGAGGGGAGACACGCCTCCTTGGGCGGGCGAGACTGAGACACGTATATTCTTGTTCCCACAGAGGTGGGTGGGATTTCTGAGCTGACCGAAGCCTGCGACTGGTGGAGCTTTGGGTCTCTGCTGTATGAACTGCTGACGGGAACGGTGAGCGGTGTGTGGGCAGGGTGTAGGGCCTGGTGGGTGTCACTGAATGTAGGAGGGGCTGGGGTTAGTCCAGCCAGTCGGTGTTGGGGCAGAGCCTGCCTGGTTCCCGGACACCTGGCCGTCGGGCCCAGTGTTCTGCCAGCACAGCTCCCGCCTCCACCGCCGAGGCCATGAGAGACCATGAAGCCACTCCCACCCAGGCCATGGCCACACTTCACACCACTGCCAGATGAGTGGCTATAGCTAGGGAGACTGTCAACTCAGTGAGAGTTGAGTCGGGATGATCAGGGAAGGTTTCTGGAAGAGAGCGACCGGGGCCTGGATCTGGAGGGAGGGTGGAGCTTGACACAGCCCTTTTACTTAGAAGGCTACCGGATCATCCCCCAAGCGTCCTCTCCCCGCTGCTCACTCCCCGCGTCCACACCCTTCAGAGCTATAACCCCCAGACTTTGGCTGGAAGACCAGAGAGAGGGCCTCCTTCATCCCAGGCTGGCAGCTGCCCTGTCCAGCCTGGGTCAACTCTGAGCTTAAAGTTCCCCTGGCAAGTACCCTTGCTCAGGATGGTGGCCTCCGCCCTCCATCCTCCCTCGTGAGCTCAACGTCACACCTGGGCCTGGTTAAGTCAGGCAGCAGGGAGAGGCCAAACTGCATTTGAGCAGGAAATGCCTCGAGTGGATGCAGTGTGACCGGAAGTCCAGATCTGACTGGTCCCTCCTGGCTCCCTCCTGGTTTGGTCCTGTAGCCAGGGCCTTTGAGAGCCCTGGCTGCACACAGCCCCACAGAATGGCTCTCTCCTCGTGGCCTCCCACCACCTCTCCAGGTCAGGGCTCCTGGCCTTCCTCCTGGTCGCTTCTTGCCTCTCTTCCTGACCTCCAGACAGACCTCTCTGCTCCCCGCAGCTGCACCCTTCTGGAGCACTGAGAGGCCCTGCCTTCTTCCCTCGCCACAGCCCTGCCTTGGCCCTCACAGTAGCACGCCATGTCAAATGAGTGGCCCATGGAAATTTTTTTTCTGTAAGGAGACAAGTTTCGGTGCTATTCCTGATAGAGTGCCTGCCCTGACTGCAACCCAAGACCGATGTTTCTAGCAAGCTTGGAGCCAGAGGGACCTGGGTTCAAACCCTGAACTCAGCACAAATCCCTTGACCTCTCTGAGCCTGCTTCTTGTCTTTAAAATGGGGGTAATAATACTTACTCTGAAGGTTGTTGTGGAAATTACGGATAATGGGTGGGTCTCAGGCATCTTCCGCAGCCTGACATGCAGTAGATCCAAAGCAAGAGGCAACAAGCAGCAGCATCATCATCCCCACGAGATGTGACACAGGGGGAAAATGATAAAACCTGGCCACCATTGGAGTGTACAGACTCTCCTGGGGTCGCCCCCGTGTGTCTTCCCAGGCGCTGTCCCAGAGCCACCCCTCGGGAATCCAACCCCACACCCAGCTCCAGCTGCCCGAGTGGCTCAGTCGCCCCGCAGCCTCCCTGCTGACTGAGGTGAGGTGTGGCCGCCCGGAGAAAGCGGCTTCTTTGGCCTGAGGGTGGACAGAAGGGAGGACAGAGCCCTGTGTGTGAACAAGCCGCCCAGCGTATTAGGTGTCTGATGTGGGTGCAGGAGGTTAATGGGGACAACAAATTTCTATATGTTGGTGGCCAAACACCAATGTCCCCCAGGGTAACACTGGGGGTTCTGTGGGCCGGGCTGGCAGGGAGCAACGGGGTTGGGAAGGCCTGCCCAGTGCTGACTGGGCCTTTTCCACAGCTGCTGCAGTTTGAGCCCGCCGGGCGCCTGGGCGCTGGAGGAGGCGGTGTCAACAAACTCAAGTCCCACCCCTTTTTCAGCACCATCCAGTGGAGCAAACTGGTGGGGTAACCGGAGGGGGTGGAGTAGGCGATGGAAGCAGCTGGACTGGTCTGGATCTCCTCTCTTCTCTTTGCCTGCCACCCAGAGCTGGCCCTTCTAATCAGCAGCCCTCAGGCAAAGAATGAAAGGCAGCTTGCTTTTCCTGGTCGGGCCCCTCCCTTGGGCCTCAGAAGTCTCTTCACTGACCAGGAAGGGCATACGGAGTCCCCCAGCCACATCCTGGAGAAACCCTTCCTAGACGGTGCTGAGCGGGAAGGAAAGAGAGATCTCAGCCTGTTAGGCAGCTTGAACCCCTCCACCCATCAGTCAACAGTCACCTGCTGAGTGCACACCCTGTACTTGGACCTACCATGTTAAAAGGTGCCTTCCTTTGCATTAGCTCTGAGCTACTGACCACCTGCTGAGCCGTGAAATTTTGTGACTCATTATCTGCCATGTGCCCCACTCGGGATGTCTCTGGAGACTCATCTCAGCATACTAGTCCACCGGCTTAGTGGTCCCAAACCAGGGCTGCCCTGGCTGGTCATCTTAACCATGCAACTAGTGGGCCTCTTCCACCAGAGGCTACTTTTGCAGGGGGTCGGGAGGCTGGGGAAGCAGGGAAGAAGTCTGTAGTGGGCATGGGGTGGGGTGAGGGAATGCGACAGGACAACCCATTCCCCCCTCCTGACCATGACCCTTATCTTGTGATTACAGACTTTGGAGAGCAAAAGGAAAGGAGGGGAGGAAAATAAGGATAAAGAGGAATGGGGGGAGAGAGGAAGGCACAGCTCTGCCACTTAGAGAAATTTTGGAAACAAAGAGCTCCCTTCCCCGGCTAGCCTACCCATGTGGAGAGAAAGGAAAACCTGCCCCATGGGTCTGAGGGGAGACCGCCATTCAGTCTCCAGGCTGAAGCCACTTGAAGAAAAGTTGTACCCACTAGGACTCCCTTCTCGGACGTTCGTCCTGTTTACCATTTTGCATTTTAGTCTTGAGGGTCCACTCAATCCACTGCCCACTGTGACTTCATCTCCTTTTGAAACGAAACCACAAAACACATGGAATGATTGCCCAAGCTTTTAGCCGGAAGCAAAATGTTTCTGGTCTCGGAAGAACTGGGTTAAGTAGTTACCCCCAAAGACAATTCCCTCCCCAGATTTGGGGGCCTTCTTCCTCTCAGGACTCACCCTGTCACTGGGGTGTGGCATCTAAGACAAACTTCCACAGATCTCCAACTCCTTCCCGCCTGCGTCTCTGACACCACCCTCCAGTCTGGCTGTGAAGGCCCAGCTCTAAATCTGGGGCTAGGGACCTGTTGTGGGCATGGCACGAAGCTCCTCAGGGGACGTGGGAGGTGCAGCCTTTGGAAGGTCCTGGCTCTCCCTGGGGCTTGCCCACATCCCTCCACCCCAACTCCAATAAAGCCTGCTGTTGCCTCTGGTGTCCTTGCCTCACTAACGCAATGAGAGGGGATGGGGAGATGGGAGGGTTCCTCCAGAGCAAGACCCATGATAACCAAGAGTGTGCTTGGATCCTGCTAGGAAGGAGGAAGCAGGGCTGGTAGTGAACAGCACGCCAGCCTGTACCCAGCAGAGCAGCTGTGAGCCCCCCGGAAAGTGGCGGCACTGGGCTCCGTGGGAAGTAAAACAGGAAAAGACATCTTTGGAGAGGGTCATGGTGCCTGGGGGTGGTGCAGGGGAGTGGACCTAACCCTCACCGTGACCTCTTCAACAGATGGTGGCTCCTGAGAAAACTGGAATTCAAAGAGGGAAATGACAGGACCTGGCTAGAGCCTGCTGGAGCCCGCTCCCAAGTCTGTGTTCCTTCCGCTACACTCCCTCAGTCAGGTCAGAGCACCTCCAACTACTGTACAAAGTGCAAGTTGCTTCTGCAACTTCTGGGCCTCATTCATGCAATGAACACTGCACATCCGGCACTTTGCTAGGCCCTGAGTTTAGAATACCGTGGTCCCAGCCCTTAAGGGAAGTACAGTCTATTTCCATTTGATAAAAATGGAGCTAAATGTACCTCCTTTGTAGGTTTACTCAAGAAAATAAAGATTCTAGCTCCATGCCCCAAACCTGACCTAAAATTCGTCCTCTCACTGAACCCAAGCTTTCTACCAGCTCTAGTTCAACCCTCTAGGAGCCGCTCTGTTCCCGCGACAGACCTTCACATGAAGACGGCATCACCGCAAGCAAGATCAGCAGGCAGGGACTGCGTGTGGAAAAGCCAGGCTGAGTTTAAGCCGGGACACCATCAAGCCTATCACACGTAGTCAGCGCAGATTAGCTCTCAACCCCGTCCACTCACCCTCACACACCACTTGCTCCTAGGAGGTGATCTACCCTCATTTGTTCAAATCAACCTTGAGCATCTGGGTACCCACGTGGCAATCAAGTGCAAAATGTGAAACTACGTTGCTCCACCACTCCCCCATCCATCCCAGAAATAACACAAGGCAACGCCACCAAAATGTAAATGTCTGTTGGTGTTTGAAGGGGCTTCACGCAGGTGACAACCAGTTTCTCTTCAACAGTGTGGCTTGCTGGGCTCACCAGGTTTGAGGAAGGAAGGAAGTGCCCTGGAAGGAAGCCAGGGCACTTTTCTGGATGAGAGGGACATTACGTGGCTTTCAGTGCTAATGACAGTCACAGTGCTGGAGACTTGTACAATCTCAGTAACCAAAAGTAGTACAGAAGCAGGAACCCTGTTTGCGAACATTTGCCCTTTAATTTGCATTTAAAATCAGTTTCTTTAAATATTTTAGTTACAAGTTCTGAATAGTGAAGACATAGGAGATGCTGCAGGCACTCAGTGCTGGCTCCCACCCCTTCCCCCTACCCCAACCCCCAGGCCTTGCTTCTTCGCTCAAAATACAAATGGGCACCCTGCACTAAATAAACGGCTCCCTGTGTCAAGTGTCAGCAGCCTCAGGCCTGGATGCAGTTGGATACGAAGCGATGAAGCCCAGTAGCTTTCATGACAAGATGTGTGCATTTAACCATGCTCCGAAGAATTCCAATGATTGTGTCCAGACCCAAGGCAGTACCTCGTAGGTGACATCAGCCATTTCCCCACTGTGCACTAGCATCTTGGGCTGGTTTCCACCACAATCCATCCTCTCCCAGACCTGTGTTCTGTGGAGGAAGAGCTAAGGCTCCGCTCCCTAAGGGCCATGACACAGGAAGGAACAGAACTGCCTCTTCAGCCCACAGGCTTAAACCAATGGAATTTAAAAGCTCAAGACAATGTGAGCCAGTCCACAGTATGCCTCCTTCACTCCAATCTCTACCAGGCGCCATCCAGCCCTTGGTTGTGACACACTGTCTCCCTGCCAAGATGTGCTAGAATCTGCTCTAGATGAGAATAATGTGGTAGAATGGTCCCAGTGGTCTGGAAAGGTCAGCACAACCACAGCTGGGCGTGCTTGTGCCAAAATGGGTCTTCCTGGTACAAAGCTATGACGGAGAGTGTGAGGGCAGGCCTGGGCTCTGCTTCAGTCTCATTTATAACCTCTGACCTCAGAATCTGTCCTCCCCCCTCAACACTGCCTACCCATCCCCTGCCCCTCCAGATCCCCCAGCCTGTGCTTCCTGGAAGAGGTAGAAGAGGCAGCGTGAAGTCAGTGACAGCTGAGAATGAAGATGCCATTTAAGAAGCAAAGCAGCACCTCCTGGCCTGTGGTCAATACCTCCACACGGGTGGAACCGAGTAAGGACATGCACAGCCAGGACAGAGGTTGCTCCGAGCTTGGGAGGCACAGCACCCTCCTAGGCATCTCTGGAGAACAGACTTTCAAGAGATAGAAACTTAATCACATGGTCCCCGGCAGTCTCCCTATGGTATACTGGACGGGGGAGAAGCAAAATCATCTCAGCGGAGGGCTAATGGAGAAAGGCAGGAATATTAATGAGCATCCATTAAGGCTCTCTCTCTCCCTCAAGCCTAAGGAAATCAGATATTCGAGTGTAAGAGAACGGCGCAGAGAGGGAGAGAGCCTGGCAGGAACACCAAGAGACCTGTGTCTGCTGGTTACATAGTGCCCTGGTTTCCTTGCTTGAGAACAACAGCATATGCCTGTCTGTCACCAGGCTAACCCGGGGCCCGTGAGGGGACAGGGAGAAGACTGGTTTTCAGTTCCCGCATGGTTGATGTGTAGGGCGCATGGCTTCCTCCTACAGGTCCAATAGGAGGACTCTGGGATCCTCTACCGCTGCCTTGATTTTGCGGAGGAAAGTCACGGCCTCTCTGCCATCGATCAGCCGGTGATCATACGTCAGGGCCACGTACATCATGGGCCGCACCTCTACCTACAGAGAAGAGAGGTCGACAGGTTTGTCTGCAGCGGGGCAGAGAAAGCCCAGATGAAAGGGGAGATGACAAAGCACAGCCCATAGTTAAGTTCCCAGTTGCAGAGCCTTTCCTACTTTGCTTTGCTGCTTCTGGATACTTACAGTATATTCAAAGACCAAGCCCTACCCTGAGTGCAAAGCTCCCACACTCAAAGCTTAAACCAAGAAAACAGGAGTCTCCTTACAACTGCCTTTAAAAAAACAAAAGAAAACAAAACACTATGCTCTGCCCTCTCACTTGTCTGCTGTCTACAGGGAAGTTCCTCTTCAGTTCTGGCTCCCTGCAGTTTCTTCTTTGGGGTTATAGTAACAACAACAAAAAATTTTTTTTAACCTGGGGTCCACAAATTCTCTGAAACTCTATGCAAAGTTGGGTGTATGAGCATTTTCAGGGAAGATCTATGATTTTTAGATTGAAAAAGGAGTTAGTGACCCAAAAAGGTTCTAAACACAGGAGTCCCAGAAAACATTTTCCTACCAACATATCTTCTAGGGCCAGCTCAAGACCCTTTGCCCTCATTCCGTGAACTCCCAGAAAACCTCTAAGCCTCATCATTACAACTTGGCAGCTCGTAGATGGCTCTGCCCTGTCCTCTGTTCCCCAGGAGCAAGGACCATGTCTTCAACTGTATCCCCACACTCTCTACAGCACCTAGAGAATGAAGCCTGTTG